GCCCCAGCAAAAGAAGACACTGACTTTCGTGCTGTAGTAAAGTAAAAAAGAGTTTGTCTGAAGTGGGATTGAACCCACGCCCACTACCTGGACCAGAAGCCTCGTTCAACCCGTATCACTGAGGCAAGGTTTCCCTGAGTCTGGCGCCTTAGACCACTCGGCCATTCTGACACGATATATCAGCCCCAGCAAAAGGAGACACTGACATTTGTGTCTGGTAGTAAAGTAAAAAAAGTTGTCAGAATGGGATTTGAACCCACGCCCACATACGTGGACCAGAAGCCTCGTTCAACCCGTATCACTGGGCAAGGTTCCCTTGAGTCTGGCGCCTTAGACCACTCGGCCATTCTGACACGATATTTCAGCCCAGCAAAAGGAGACACTGACTTTGTTCTGGTAGTAAAGTAAAAAAAGTTTGTCAGAAGTGGATTCGAACCCACGCCCACATACGTGGACCAGAAGCCTCGTTCAACCCGTATCACTGGGCAAGGTTTCCCTTGAGTCTGGCGCCTTAGACCACTCGGCCATTCTGACACGATATATCAGCCCCAGCAAAAGAAGACACTGACTTCGTGCTGGTAGTAAAGTAAAAAAAGTTTGTCAGAAGTGGGATTCGAACCCACGCCCACATACGTGGACCAGAAGCCTCGTTCAACCCGTATCACTGGGCAAGGTTTCCCTTGAAGTCTGGCGCCTTCGACCACTCGGCCATTCTGACACAATATTTCAGCCCAGCAAAAGGAGACACTGACTTTGTTCTGGTAGTAAAGTAAAAAAAGTTTGTCAGAAGTGGATTCGAACCCACGCCCACATACGTGGACCAGAAGCCTCGTTCAACCCGTATCACTGGGCAAGGTTTCCCTTGAGTCTGGCGCCTTAGACCACTCGGCCATTCTGACACGATATATCAGCCCAGCAAAAGAAGACACTGACATTGTTCTGGTAGTAAAGTAAAAAAAAGTTTGTCAGAAGTGGGATTCGAACCCACGCCCACATACGTGGACCAGAAGCCTCGTTCAACCGTATCACTGGGCAAGGTTTCCCTTGAGTCTGGCGCCTTAGACCACTCGGCCATTCTGACACGATATTTCAGCCCAGCAAAAGGAGACACTGACTTTGTTCTGGTAGTAAAGTAAAAAAAGTTTGTCAGAAGTGGGATTCGAACCCACGCCCACATACGTGGACCAGAAGCCTCGTTCAACCCGTATCACTGGGCAAGGTTTCCCTTAAGTCTGGCGCCTTAGACCACTCGGCCATTCTGACACGATATATCAGCCCCGGCAAAGAAGACACTGACTTTATGCTCGTAGTAAAGTAAAAAAAAGAGATTGTCTGAAGTGGGATTTGAAGCCACGCCCACATACGTGGACCAGAAGCCTCGTTCAACCCGTATCACAGGGCGAGGTTTCCCTTAGGTCTGGCGCCTTCGACCACTCGGCCATTCTGACACGATATTTCAGCCCAGCAAAAGGAGACACTGACTTTGTGCTGGTAGTAAAGTAAAAAAAGAGATTGTCAGAAGTGGGATTTGAACCCACGCCCACATACGTGGACCAGAAGCCTCGTTCAACAGGCATCACTGGGCAAGGTTTCCCTTAAGTCTGGCGCCTTCGACCACTCGGCCATTCTGACACAATATTTCAGCCCAGCAAAAGAAGACACTGACTTTGTTCTGGTAGAAAAGTAAAAAAAAGAGTTTGTCAGAAGTGGGAATCGAACCCACGCCCACATACGTGGACCAGAAGCCTAGTTCAACCCGTATCACTGGGCAAGGTTTCCCTTGAGTCTGGCGCCTTAGACCACTCGGCCATTCTGACACGATAATTCAGCCCCAGCAAAAGGAGAACACTGACTTTGTGCTGGTAGTAAAGTAAAAAAGAGTTTGTCAGAAGTGGGATTTCAACCCACGCCCACATACGTAGACCAGAAGCCTCGTTCAACCCGTATCACTGGAGCAAGGTTTTCCCTTGAGTCTGGCGCCTTAGACCACTCGGCCATTCTGACACGAATATTCAGCCCCAGCAAAAGGAGACACTGACTTTTTGCTGGTAGTAAAGTAAAAAAAGTTTGTCAGAAGTGGGATTCGAACCCACGCCCACATACGTGGATCCAGAAGCCTCGTTCAACCCGTATTCACTGGGCAAGGTTTCTCTGAGTCTGGCGACTTAGACCACTCGGCCATTCTGACTACGAATATCGGCCCAGCAAAAGGAAGACACTGACATTGTGCTGGTAGTAAAGTAAAAAAAGTTTGTCAGAAGTGGGATTCGAACCCACGCACACATACGTGGACCAGAAGCCTCGTTCAACCCGTATCACTGGGCAAGGTTTCCCTTAAGTCTGGCGCCTTCGACCACTCGGCCATTCTGACACAATATTTCAGCCCAGCAAAAGGAGACACTGACTTTGTTCTGGTAGTAAAGTAAAAAAAGTTTGTCAGAAGTAGGATTCGAACCCACGCCCACATACGTGGACCAGAAGCCTCGTTCAACTCGTATCACTGGGCAAGGTTTCCCTTAGTCTGGCGCCTTGGACCACTCGGCCATTCTGACACGATATTTCAGCCCCAGCAAAAGGAGACACTGACTTTGTTCTGGTAGTAAGTAAAAAAAAGTTTGTCAGAAGTGGGATTCGAACCCACGCCCACATACGTGGACCAGAAGCCTCGTTCAACCCGTATCACTGGGCAAGGTTTCCCTTGAGTCTGGCGCCTTAGACCACTCGGCCATTCTGACACGATATTTCAGCCCCAGCAAAAGGAGACACTGACTTGTGCTGGTAGTAAAGTAAAAAAAGTTTGTCAGAAGTGGGATTCGAACCCACGCCCACATACGTGGACCAGAAGCCTCGTTCAACTCGTATCACTGGGCAAGGTTTCCCTTGAGTCTGGCGCCTTAGACCACTCGGCCATTCTGACACGATATATCAGCCCCAGCAAAAGAGACACTGACTTTGTGCTGGTAGTAAAGTAAAAAAAGTTTGTCAGAAGTGGGATTCGAACCCACGCCCACATACGTGGACCAGAAGCCTCGTTCACCCGTATCACCGGGCAAGGTTTCCCTTGAGTCTGGCGCCTTAGACCACTCGGCCATTCTGACACGATATTTCAGCCCCAGCAAAAGGAGACACTGACTTTGTGCTGGTAGTAAAGTAAAAAAAAGTTGACAGAAGTGGGATTCGAACCCACGCCCACATACGTAGACCAGAAGCCTCGTTCAACCCGTATCACTGGGCAAGGTTTCCCTTGAGTCTGGCGCCTTAGACCACTCGGCCATTCTGACACGAATATTTCAGCCCAGGCAAAGGAGACACTGACTTTGTTCTGGTAGTAAAGTAAAAAAAGTTTGTCAGAATAGTGGATTCGAACCCACGCCCACATACGTGGACCAGAAGCCTCGTTCAACCTCGTATCACTGGGCAAGGTTTCCCTTGAGTCTGGAGCCTTAGACCACTCGGCCATTCTGACACGATATATCAGCCCAGCAAAAGAAGACACTGACTTTCGTGCTGGTAGTAAAGTAAAAAAAGCTTCTCAGAAGTGGGATTTCGAACCCACGCTCCACATACGTAGACCAGAAGCCTCGTTCAAACCCGTATCACTGGGCAAGGTTTCCCTTAAGTCTGGTGCCTTAGACCACTCGGCCATTCTGACACGATATCAGGCCAGCAAAAGAAGGACACTGACTTTCGTTCTGGTAGTAAAGTAAAAAAGTTTGTCAGAAGTGGGATTCGAACCCACGCCCACATACGTGGACCAGAAGCTCGTTCAACCCGTATCACTGGGCAAGGTTTCCCTTAGAGTCTGGCGCCTTAGGACCACTCGGCCATTCTGACACGATATATTCAGCCCAGCAAAAGAGACACTGACTTTGTGCTGGTAGTAAAGTAAAAAAAGTTTGTCAGAAGTGGGATTCGAACCCACGCCCACATACGTGGACCAGAAGCCTCGTTCAACCGTATCACTGGGCAAGGTTTCCCTTAAGTCTGGCGCCTTCGACCACTCGGCCATTCTGACACGATATTCAGCCCAGCAAAAGGAGACACTGACTTTGTTCTGGTAGTAAAGTAAAAAAAAGTTTGTCAGAAGGGGATTCGAACCCACGCCCACATACGTGGACCAGAAGCCTCGTTCAACCCGTATCACTGGGCAAGGTTTCCCTTGAGTCTGGCGCCTTAGACCACTCGGCCATTCTGACACGATATTTCAGCCCAGCAAAAGAAGACACTGACTTTGTGCTGGTAGTAAAGTAAAAAAAGCTTTGTCAGAAGTAGGGATTCGAACCCACGCCCACATACGTGGACCAGAAGCCTCGTTCAACCCGTATCACTGGGCAAGGTTTCCCTTGAGTCTGGCGCCTTAGACCACTCGGCCATTCTGACACGATATTTCAGCCCCAGCAAAAGGAGACACTGACTTTGTGCTGGTAGTAAAGTAAAAAAAGTTTGTCAGAAGTGGGATTCGAACCCACGCCCACATACGTGGACCAGAAGCCTCGTTCAACCGTATCACTGGGCAAGGTTTCCCTTGAGTCTGGCGCCTTAGACCACTCGGCCATTCTGACACGAATATTTCAGCCCAGCAAAAGGAGACACTGACTTTCGTGCTGGTAGTAAGTAAAAAAAGTTTGTCAGAAGTGGGATTCGAACCCACGCCCACATACGTGGACCAGAAGCCTCGTTCAACCCGTATCACTGGGCAAGGTTTCCCTTGAGTCTGGCGCCTTAGACCACTCGGCCATTCTGACACGATATTTCAGCCCAGCAAAAGATGAGACACTGACTTCTGTTCTGGTAGTAAAGTAAAACAAGGTTCTGTCTGAAGTGGGATTCGAACCCACGCCCACATACGTAGACCAGAAGCCTCGTTCAACCCTGTATCACTGGGCAAGGTTTCCCTTGAGTCTGGCGCCTTAGACCACTCGGCCATTCTGACCGACATATTCAGCCCAGCAAAGAAGACACTGACTTCTTGTGCTGTTAGTAAAGTAAAAAAAGTTTGTCAGAAGTGGGATTCGAACCCACGCCCACACTACGTGGACCAGAAGCCTCGTTCAACCCGTATCACTGGGCAAGGTTTCCCTTGAGTCTGGCGCCTTAGACCACTCGGCCATTCTGAACGATCTATCAGCCCCAGCAAAAGAAGACACTGACTTCGTGTGGTAGTAAAGTAAAAAAAAGTTGTCAGAAGGGATTCGAACCCACGCCCACATACGTAGACCAGAAGCCTCGTTCAACCCGTATCACTGGGCAAGGTTTCCCTTAAGTCTGGCGCCTTAGACCACTCGGCCATTCTGATACGATATGTCAGCCCCAGCAAAAGAAGACGCTGACTTTGTTGCTGGTAGTAAAGTAAAAAAAGTTTGTCAGAAGTGGGATTCGAACCACGCACACATACGTTGGACCAGAAGCCTCGTTCAACCCGTATCACTGGCGCAAGGTTTCCCTTGAGTCTGCGCCTCTTAGACCACTCGGCCATTCTGACACAATATATCAGCCCAGCAAAAGAAGACAGCTGACTCTTGTTGGTAGTAAAGTAAAAAAAGTTTGTCAGAAGTGGATCGAAACCCACGCCCATCATACGTGGACCAGAAGCTCGTCAACCTGTATCACTGCGCAAGGTTTACCCTGAGTCTGGCGCCTTAGACAACTCGGCCATTCTGACACAAATTTCAGCACAGCAAAAGGAGACACTGACTTTGTTCTGGTAGTAAAGTAAAAAAAGATTGTCAGAAGTGGGATTCGAACCCACGCCCACATACGTGGACCAGAAGCCTCGTTCAACCCGTATCACTGGGCAAGGTTTCCCTTGAGTCTGGCGCCTTAGACCACTCGGCCATTCTGACACGATATATCAGCCCAGCAAAAGAAGACACTGACTTCGTGCTGGTAGTAAAGTAAAAAAAAGTTTGTCAGAAGTGGGATTCGAACCCACGCACACATACGTGGACCAGAAGCCTCGTTCAACTCTCGTATCACTGGGCAAGGTTTCCCTGAGTCTGGCGCCTTAGACCACTCGGCCATTCTGACACGATATATCAGCCCCAGCAAAAGGGACACTGACTTGTTCTGTTAGTAAAGTAAAAAAAGTTTGTCAGAAGATGGGATTCGAACCCACGCCCACATACGTGGACCAGAAGGCCTCGTTCAACCCGTATCACTGGCAAGGTTTCCCTTGAGTCTGGCGCCTTAGACCACTCGGCCATTCTGACACGATATATCAGCCCCAGCAAAAGAAGACACTGACTTTATGCTCGTAGTAAAGTAAAAAAACGGAGTTTGTCAGAAGTGCGCATCAAACGCATCATCATTCTGACACGATATATCAGCCCCAGCAAAAGAAGACACTGACTTTATGCTCGTAGTAAAGTAAAAAAACGGAGTTTGTCAGAAGTGCGCATCAAACCCACGCCCACATACGTGGACCAGAAGCCTCGTTCAACCCGTATCACTGGGCAAGGTTTCCCTTAAGTCTGGCGCCTTCGACCACTCGGCCATTCTGACACAATATTTCAGCCCAGCAAAAGGAGACACTGACTTTCTTCTGGTAGTAAAGTAAAAAAAAAGATTGTCAGAAGTGGGATTCGAACCCACGCACACATACGTGGACCAGAAGCCTCGTTCAACAGGCATCACTGGGCAAGGTTTTCCTTAAGTCTGGCGCCTTCGACCACTCGGCCATTCTGACACGATATATCAGCCCCGGCAAAAGAAGACACTGACTTTATGCTCGTAGTAAAGTAAAAAAAGAGATTGTCTGAAGTGGGATTTGAACCACGCCCACATACGTGGACCAGAAGCCTCGTTCAACCCGTACACGGGCAAGGTTTCTCTTAGTTCTGGCGCCTTAGACCACTCGGACATTCTGACACGATATATCAGCCCCAGCAAAGAAGACACTGACTTTTTCTGGTAGTAAAGTAAAAAAGAGATTTCAGAAGGGGATTTGAACCACGCCCACAATACGTGGACCAGAAGCCTCGTTCAACCGTATCACTGGGCAAGGTGTCCCTTGAGTCTGGCGCCTTAGACCACTCGGCCATTCTGACACGATATTCAGCCCAGCAAAAGAGAACACTGACTTTGTCTTGGTAGTAAAGTAAGAAAAGATTTGTCAGAAGTGGGATTCGAACCCACGCCACATACGTGGACCAGAAGCCTCGTTCGACCCGTATCACTGGCAAGGTTTCCCTAAGTCTGGCGCCTTCGACCACTCGGCCATTCTGACACAATATTCAGCCCAGCAAAAGAAGACACTGACTTTATGCTCGTAGTAATTTAAAAAAACAGAGTTTGTCAGAAGTGCGCATCAAACCCACGCCCACATACGTGGACCAGAAGCCTCGTTCAACCCGTATCACTGGGCAAGGTTTCCCTTGAGTCTGGCGCCTAACACCACTCGGCCATGCTGACACGATATATTAGCCCCAGCAAAAAAGACACTGACTTTATGCTGGTAGTAAAGTAAGAAAAAGTTTGTCAGAAGTGGGATTCGAACCCAAGCCCACTTACGTGGACCAGAAGCCTCGTTCAACCCGTATCACTAGGCAAGGTTTTTCTTGAGTCTGGTGTTTTAGATTACTCGGCTATTCTGACTCGATATATCAGCACCAGCAAAAGAAAGACACTGACTTTATACTGGTAGTAAAGTAACAAAAAGAATGTCAGAAGTGCGATTTGAACCCACGCCAACATACTGGGACCAGAAGCCTCGTTCAACCCGCGTCACTGGGCAAGGTTTCCCTTAAGTCTGGCGCCTTCGACCACTCGGCCATTCTGACACGATATTTCAGCCCCAGCAAAAGGAGACACTGACTTGTTCTGGTAGTAAAGTAAAAAAAGAGTTTGTCAGAAGTGGGATTCGAACCCACGCCCACATACGTGGACCAGAAGCCTCGTTTAACCCGTATCACTGGGCAAGGTTTCCCTTAAGTCTGGCGCCTTAGACCACTCGGCCATTCTGACACGATATATCAGCCCAGCAAAAGAAGACACTGACTCTGTGCTGGTAGTAAAGTAAAAAAAGTTTGTCAGAAGTGGGATTCGAACCCACGCCCACATACGTGGACCAGAAGCCTCGTTCAACCTCGTATCACTGGGCAAGGTTTCCCTTGAGGTCTGGCGCCTTAGACCACTCGGCCATTCTGACACGATATTCAGCCCCAGCAAAAGAGACACTGACTTGTGCTGGTAGTAAAGTAAAAAAGAGTTTGTCAGAAGTGGGATTCGAACCCACGCCCACATACGTGACCAGAAGCCTCGTTCAACAGGCATAACTGGGCAAGCTTTCCCTTAAGTCTGGCGCCTTCGACCACTCGGCCATTCTGACACAATATTTCAGCCCAGCAAAAAAGACACTGACTTTGTTCTGGTAGAAAAGTAAAAAACAGAGTTCGTCAGAAGTGGGAATCGAACCCACGTCCACATACGTGGACCAGAAGTCTAGTTCAACCCGTATCACTGGGCAAGGTTTCTCTTGAGCCTGGTGCCTTAGACCACTCGGCCCTTCTGACACGATGTTTTAACCCCAGCAAAAGAAGACACTGACTTTATGCTGGTAGTAAAGTAAAAAAGAGTTTGCCAGAAGTGGGATTCGAACCCACGCCCACATACGTGGACCAGAAGCCTCGTTCAACCCGTATCACAGGGCAAGGTTTCCCTTAAGTCTGGCGCCTTAGACCACTCGGCCATTCTGACACGATATTTCAGCCCAGCAAAAGGAGACACTGACTTTGTTCTGGTGGTAAAGTAAAAAAAGTTTCTCGGAAGTGGGATTCGAACCCACGCCCACATACGTGGACCAGAAGCCTCGTTCAACCCGTATCACTGGGCAAGGTTTCCCTTGAGTCTGGCGCCTTAGACCACTCGGCCATTCTGACACGAATATTCAGCCCCAGCAAAGGAAGACACTGACTTGTGCTGGTAGTAAAGTAAAAAAAGTTGACAGAAGTGGGATTCGAACCCACGCACACATACGTGGACCAGAAGCCTCGTTCAACCTCGTATCACTGGGCAAGGTTTCCCTTGAGTCTGGCGCCTTAGACCACTCGGCCATTCTGACACGATATTTCAGCCCCAGCAAAAGGAGACACTGACTTTGTTCTGGTAGTAAAGTAAAAAAAGTTTGTCAGAAGTGGGATTCGAACCCACGCCCACATACGTGGACCAGAAGCCTCGTTCAACCCGTATCACTGGGCAAGGTTTCCCTTAGTCTGGCGCCTTAGACCACTCGGCCATTCTGACACGATATATCAGCCCCAGCAAAAAAGACACTGACTTTGTGCTGGAAGTAAAGTAAAAAAGTTTGTCAGAAGTGCGATTCGAACCCACGCACACATACGTGGACAGAAGCCTCGTTCAACTCGCATCACTGGGCAAGGTTTCCCTTGAGTCTGGCGCCTTAGACCACTCGGCCATTCTGACACGATATGTCAGCCCAGCAAAAGGAGACACTGACTTTGTTCTGTTAGTTAAGTAAAAAAAGTTTGTCAGAAGAGGGATTCGAACCCACGCCCACATACGTAGACCAGAAGCCTCGTTCAACTCCTATCACTGAGCAAGGTTTCCCTTGAGTCTGGCGCCTTAGACCACTCGGTCATTCTGATACGATATATCAGCCCCAGCAAAAGATGACACTGACTTTATGCTCGTAGTAAAGTAAAAAAAAAGAGTTTGTCTGAAGTGGGATTTGAACCCACGCCCACACACCTAGACCAGAAGCCTCGTTCAACCCCTATCACTGAGCAAGGTTTCCCTTGAGT